GAGAGAGAGAGAGAAAGAGAAAGATAGAGAGATAGAGAGAGAAGGGGATAGCTAGCTAGCTTGCCAGCTAGTTCGTTAGATAGATATATAGATAGATAGATAGATAGATAGATAGATAGATAGCTAGATAGATCGATGGATCGATAGATCGATCGATAGATAGATAGAGAGAGAGAGAGAGAGAGAGAGAAAGAAGGAGAGATAGAGAGAGAGAAGGAGAGATAGATATCGAGAGAGAGGTGGGGGCGAGGGGGAGGGGGAACAAGCGGAGAGGGGTGGTGTTGACTTGAGGGTGAAAAAAAACCAAGTGGGTATACATGTAACTTAGCATAATGCTATGGCTTTACACAACAGTACAATTAGATACCACCCTTAATAACTCATAGTACCGAGACCTGTTGTTTTGCAACGATACACAGCTCTCATTTCATATGCGTACTCATTCACGCACATAAGCTTTCACAGAAGTTATAATACATCTACGTGTACAAACGAACCTGTTCTAATGCCCTTGGGAAGTACGTAACTGTACAAATCAATGTCCACATCCTACCTCCCCCCCTCCCGCCCATAGATCTACCATGCCCTTTGCGTTTTAAAAAAATGTATTATAATGACTCAGTCCAAACGGACCCCCTATTTAAGATGATCACTTTTATCCTTGATATAAATGGCTGGTCATCTTAAACAATTTCGACGGTACATGTATCTCGAACAAAAACTTGAATGACCATTCAACCGCCCCCCCCCCCCCCCCCCCTCGCCCCCGTTAAAAAAACCTCTTCAGTTGTCTTTTTCTTTATCCTCACAACGACTGTCCGACAGGAACTCCTGTCAAAGATGGCCATTTTACTCCTCGACAGTGCCCTACCTCTGAATTATGAAGTTCTATCTGCAAAGTACCTAGTTTTGAGAAATTTAACGTAAAAAAAAAAATTGAGTTTCAAAAAATGTCAAACTTTTTCGAATGTATTTCTTTGAAAATTTTAATAACGACTCCGAATATTCTTACAAGTTTGGAAGAGCGGATTGAACATTGATTGGTTTCTGACATCAGGGTTTTAGTTACTCAACACGGCCAAAAATGTCGGATAGAACTTTGAAATTTTGAGTTAGCGATAATGGGTGGTCGTCCTAGACAAATTCTAATGTACATGTACTCGTGCAAGAACTTGTAGGCCCCACGTATACATGACTATCAAACAGGAGGCTCTCGTGGTCTAGAGGATAAGGTGTTTGCTTCTCATTCAATAGGTCACGGGTTCGAATCAGGATTGCGACGGAAATTATCTTCCCTAAAATTTTACCCTTTCACATCCTTTCCTCCTCTCTAATAGTATTCTGTGGTCTGCTTTCGTCTCCAATTTCGGCCCCACCCCCTCATTGGCTCACGGCTCTTTCTGAAGCCAATCTATTACTACTCATAGGCACTTTCTCACTACAGTATTTCAGCCACACCCCTGATTTTATAAATGGTAAGATTTAAAACCTAGCCTTCTCGGATAAGGGTGAAAAATCTCGGAAGTCCCGCGTGCAAGCTGCTCGTGTTATCGGCTGTTGTGTCTTCGATCGCTTGGTGGTCCAAAATCGACAGGAGTAGGCTTCGGCCGCCACCCAAGCAAAATTCAAAATTTCCCACCAACTGAAAATGTTTAATGTGTCCCGCGCGCTCAAATGACCTTATGTAGTTGCGAGCGCCGTAAAACACTTACCAAGTAATAATAATATAAATGTTGGCTTATCGGTTGTTGTGTCTTCGTTTGACCCGACAGATGAACGCAGCCTACATCAGTCTACACGATTTGACTCACTTGGTGGGTCCTCTCACAGAGGAGATTTGGTCAAATGTCTCCAGTCTCGCTACAACGCTGGGCTATGTCAGGTATGTGTGTGTGTGTGTGTGTGTGTG